AACTTCTAACGATTAGCTAAAAATAAGCCCTTTTTGAGCCCTGTAAATGCAGCTGTTGCAGCAGCACAAAATAAGCAAAGATGAATGGAGACAAAAAAAAGAGGTATGTACAAACAGTAGGCCTATAAAAGCAATTTAGGAAAAAGTTAAAGGGTCAAAAATATAATCTGGGATAAAGTATTGATATTTAGTATTGTCTGTTTAAATATAGCAAAACCAAAATGAGTTTTGAAATTGTTACTGTGATAGAGACTTTTTAATGTATTAAGTGTCTGTTTTAGTATGACGTCCGTGTGTATAAATCATGTCTTGGATTAATACATTTGTATGCATGTTTCTTGTTTAATGAAGACAAAAACCAATAATAATATAAAAGTGTCATATTTTGATGATTATCTGAATCACTTTCCAGCAAAATTAGCACCATAATTCCAACTGGAGTGGCAAAAGGTCTAAAATTAAATGTAAGAACTGTCACTACAGCTTGACGTTTGTCAAATCTGAATATTTGGACAGGACCACAGGACTCCTAATCCCTTGGAGCGGTGACAATAGTCAACCCATCACGCTGCTGTCTGTCAGACTGTTCCACTTACACCTGCTGTTAAGAAGGCTTTCCAAACGCTCGCCAAACGGCGTGTCTGTGGCTTTAGGTGTCTGATTTATAAGAAGTGCTGACCGACCATCATCATTCTAGACTAATGTGTGAGGTCACTTTAATCACACAATAAATCATTCTATTAGTCAGTTGACAACTCTATTGGGGTTTTCCCCCGCAGGCAGAGATTAAGTCATCTGTCACGCTCCATTATAGGAGATTAAGCTTCAGGTAGAATAGAAACACTGTAGAGGTCAGTGGAGTTTTCTTACAGAATGCAAACACACTGTTTATCTGAGATTTTATGAAACATAAATGTTAAGATATTGGAATACAATGATAGTATTCAGCTGATGGTGGTATTGTGAGATTACACATTCACTGTAAAGCACAGACTGGCTTTATGGGATACTTACTGGCATCATCCATGACATCCAGGTCATTAGCCAACTCAGCACTGGTCAGGTGGTACTGCTCAGGATCACTGAGCGCTGTGAGCAGGATGAGCAACACCACGGCATTGATGAGCTTAGGGACAGAAGACATAGTGGTGAATAAAAAGTCAACAAATGGAGGGAAATACAGACAGAATGCAAAAGGGAGGAGCTGAAAATGTTCATGAAATGTAAAAATATAAACATTGTCATGAGCTGCAGGGAAACAAAACAAAATCCTTAGTGGAGATAGTGTAGCAATGTTAAATGACGTACAGTCAAGCTCTAAGTCCAGGCACATACATTGGCTTTGGTGTTGGTCTGGCCGATGCAGTTCATTATGCAGATGACTCATACATCCCCATTGATCAGATGAATGTAATGGAAAATTCTCAGCCGTCAATAGGGGTGACACAAAATCTGCTACCTGAAGAGGCCAACTTCTAATTTATTCATAGGGAGAAGAGCGAGGATTTTTCCACAAGTGCTGTTTGGTTTAGCTAACCGTCTCCTGCTCATTCAGTTAAACAGAGGAAGATAGCCACGAGTGAGAATTTAATATAAAAAAGATTGCACATATATTTTCATGTTTTGATCAAGCAAAATATCCACAGTATGAGTTTTTCTAATTATAAATATTCGTGGTCTTAATTAGGTAAATTGTGTATACATCATTGATGCGAGAGGAACATAAACCAATGAATAACCCACTGAATAATGCCCATTTAGAAATAAAGAACCATCATATAAAGGCAAATAAGTCAAATAGCTTAGCTAACAGTAAAATAAAATGGTATGCTTTAAAGTTTGCAGTGGGCAAAGAAGCAGCACAATTAATTAATTTTCCTAAAATACAATAATAATATAGGTTTGAATCTTTCTTAAATTCCCTCATAATAATCATAAAATGCAGCACACGGTATGAAGGCTGAGGTATGATGTGCTCCTGCTCCTACTTTCCCTGCTCGGTCTCTGCAGGGCTCCAGGAGAAGTGACAGCTGAGGGGCTCACCATGTACCAGACCCCCAGGATGATGGTTCCAGTGCGGACATGGCAGCACAGGCAGCAGCTGGTGGAGAACCAGCGGTCCCACGGGGAAAGCATCATGTTGTCTGCGCGTGTGCTAACAACTGCGCGAGCGTCAACGAACGATGTTGGTGTTTAAAATGGATGGAGCTCGCGCGTTGTGCCTCCGGTCGGTCCTCTGTTGACGAACGGGATCCGGCTGCTTCTGACCTCACCGTGAGCGGCTTAACAAACGTTAGTCAAGCTAACGTCAAGGCAAATATGACTTCCGATTTCACAATACAACTATTTTCTATGTAGCCTACGAAGTAGGATTCGAAGAAGACAATAAACACGTTGTAGATCAATGTTTTATGCAAATATCCTTTCTTTCTCTCCTTAATTATCAAAATGCAGTTGATAAATTCAGAAGATGTACCATTATTAGTGGATAGAGCCTTGGTGTTCGGATCAGGGGGTCACAGGTTCAAACCCCACTGCAGTCAGCATGACGTTGTGTCCCTGAGACACTTCACCCCAAATTGCTCCTGTGGGGATTGCCCACAGTATTGAGTTGATTGATTGATTGATTGAAAAGTTTATTAACAGCTTGTATATTGGGTACAGTACAGTACAGCTCAAAACATACAATTGTTAAGGGGATGCAGACCAGAGAAAGACTTTCGTCTTGTTTACATCAGGGCCCCCCATTTCCAATTCATCATAAGTATGCAAGTCGCTTTGGATAAAAGCGTCTAACAAGTAACATGTAATGTAATGTAATGACTATTTGATAATCACATCATTTGTCAATTGTGTTCTCAATTAATCAATTAATTGTTAAGTCTACAATTGTTTAAATTATATCAGAATCCAGGCGACATGTTTTTCCGTTTCGTTTCAAAAAGCCTAAATATTCCTCTTAGATGATGGCTAAAGCACAGCTATCTACCTTTACATTCAGACACTTTACTTTGTCAAACGGGCTTAGAAAAATATGGTTGTCCGGTGCCTTGCTCAAATATATGACTAACTGTCATTAGTAAGGCTTTCCAGTTTATCCATTATCATAGCTTTTCAGTATATTCTGAATTCACCCAGCAGCATGGTCTGCGACGAGATCATGTAACCACAGCCAAAAAGAGTCACTTCAAACGTTCAGACTGTCCTGTGCTTCATGCAATATTTACACATTTCATCATTTTACCTTTTTGCCAATTCAACACATCATGCCAGGGCTTCTGTTTTTTGATACCATAAGTCAAATTAAAATACTGTTTTAATGTATACTCTTTGTTGTTATATACAGTCTGTATATGCCTCCTCTCTTCCAAACATCTATATCAAACATTCCCCTGTGTCAGCTTCTCGAGCTATCCTAGTTGCAGTCGTTAAATGGAGACTATATTATTTTACTGATTTTAACTGTGTTTTAATAGTTTTTGTTTGCTCCCAAGACCGTTGGTCTTTTATGCTAAAAGATATTGTCATCAGTAATGCCCTTATTCCCCCATGGGAATAAATAGTAGGTTATTTTATTCTGCCATACAGGAATGTATCAAAAGAAAACGTTGATTTAATGAAGAAAGAATGTTATACCTCCCCTGTGTTCCTCACAAGAACAAACAGTTTGCCTCGTTTGTGCTTGATTAAAAAATAAGCAACGCAAAATTATGAACATAAAGCAATGTTTAATTTCTTCAAGCCATGTCGTTGCCTTATTTGTTCTTTAGACTGTTAACAATCTGCATACAATGCACACAAGTAAATATTTGACCCAACGCTCTTATTTTGAAGGCTGAACTGCTTCCTGTGTGACTCTGGGGTTCTTGATGCAGTTATCAGTCCTGCTAATGATAAACACTGGGAGAGACTAATGGGATCAAATGCCATGATGTAACCATAGACTGTACTGTATATATAAAGGATGTAACCCGTCATTTCCAGAAAGTTATAGAAAGGAAGCTTAACTATAATACTTTACATTTAGAAATGACAAGTGGAATCGTGGCGTGGTTTAGGCCTACTCCCTTTAAATAATAACAAATATAATATATATTCTAAATACATTTTAAAACACTTTTTAAGGCATTTTCCACCTCAATCACATTTTTCTTCTGACATTGTTCAGTCAGGACCAAATTCTGTCAGTATTTTTATTCAAATTTTCTGAGGTTCTGAATTTTTTGATTTCATAATCATCAAGCTTAAAACTTTTAATAGCTAGAAATAATTAACTTTGTGTGTAATTAATCTATATAATAGATGAGTTTCACCATTTGAATTGAATTACTGAAATGAATTACATTTTCCACCCTATTCTAATTTATTGAGATGCACCTGTATATTTGTACTGCAGCAGGTCTCTCCCTTCACTGTCACCTTGCATCTGACCAGAGGGGACAGTAAACCCGCCAAAGGTTCTGCGGGACCTGCATTATGATTGGCCAAGTCACTTCTGTGTCGAAAACTCTGTTTCGATTGGCTTAGGAACTTCTGCTTTGTTTATCCTTTGAGAACTGGGTTACGCAAAAAAAAAAAAACATACATGTACATTTGAAAAGGGCACTTTTCTAATAGGAGGGGAAAAGGGCAGGTGCCCTTTGGTGTCTAACTGTGCACGTGATATCACACGTGTGTCTTAGGGGCTTTAAAGTGTGTACAGCATATGATATCCTCGGTCTTAAGACCTTTGCAGAATACAAGGTATAAAACATAGGGAATACAAATGACCAAATGATAATGGATTGTATATTTAAAAAAAGGAAAGATGGATCCAGGAGGGTGTAAACAAATCATCCATGGCAACTGCCTTGTTAGGCACTGATTGCTAGTTTAATTGTCTGATAATAGTAAATAGTTGTTCCTTTGGATGACTGTTATGTTGATGGTCCCTCCAGTAGTAGACTCAACCTATAAAAACTATATAAAAAGAAGCCCAAATATAGAAGAACTGGACTTAATTTAGTCTTTTTACATATGGCTTTAGCTTTTCTTTTATTACAAACATGTTTTACAAAAGGTTTTGAAGACTTTCGAATCAATCACAGGTGGAAAATCATGAAGAGGCTGATGACACTGCAACGGTACATCTATGCTCAGAGGCTCAGGCCACAAAGCTGTCACAGATAGTAAAAACAGCAGGGACACACCAGAGAGACCGCAGAGATTGAAATGTTGTAGTCACAGATAAGAATGCAAAAATACAGAACGGGCATGATTCCCTAGTGCTCAGCCCACTAATGCTCACATCTCATTTATGTCAGTAACACCCTGTTGATGTGAAGTTAACATTTGATCTCTCAGCTCTTTTCAACCAACAGCACTCGCTGTGTAATCATGATGCACAACTTCAAATAAAATAAGACTGCATATAGCAAAGGCCAGTTCAACATCATGGACCATTGTTGAGTGACCTTCATTCCCTACACAGTAAACTCCAGTTGTTAGCCTCCACCACAACATCAAATTTCTAAACATGATCAGTATTTTTCTATGTCTAATTACTACGATACAGCTCTCTCAATCAGTTATTTGATTCGTGGAATTAGAAGACAGAATCAAGCATATCAAATGCATACTTAAAAATCATTAACACCGTGTTAGGTTTAAAGATCCATCGGCCGACACTCAACGTGTATAAAAGTGGTTTCATTTCCAGACTGGTTGTAGGGTGAAGCCCATCATGGAGACCTTGGTTCTGCTAGTGTTCTCGTCACAAAAGGTGTTGCATAAACGGGATATGAAGTATTTTGCATACAGAGGTCTGCAGAGTCGATTCAGTCTCATGTCTCTCTCCTCGCCTTCTTCTTCTTAGCCGGCTTGGGCGCTTGGCTCTCCTCAGGTTTGTCTGAGGAAGCGGGAAGGGAGGAGCTGATTAGTCAGAATTCTAAAGCATGTGATTTACAAATGGTGAACAGGTTGTTTTAGCTCAGTTCTTGTAATTGTCATAAAGGGTTAATCTAACATAATGGCTGACAGATGAGGTTCAGGAAGGGATGACAAAAACAACAAGGCCAAGAAGTTAAGGACTGTTTAAAGGGGTCCTATTGTTCTTTTTGGAGGGGTGTAAATGTGCTCACTTTGTTGTGTAGGAGCAGAAAGGCCCTTCTGCTTGGCAGTGGTCTCTCCTTCAGTTGGCTTCTGTGGCACTTGTGTGACAGGGGGTTTCTGGGATATGTTTTCCTTCACTGGTTGCTCCACTCTCACCTAGAGGAAAAAGGAGTTAGTGTTGAAAGAATGAATCAGATCAAATTGCAGTTATGTGGCAAATTTACATATACATTATTTATTGCAATATGGCAGAATGATTTGTTTTATGTACACTTCTAACAGTATTCACACCCTCTATGTGTTACGGCTGTATGTATTCCCCGTTTCTTTTTCCCTTTGGTTCCTCTACCCAGGTGTGCTGCATTGCTGTAACGAGGTTCAGACGAGGTGCACCTGGAGAAGGAAGTCCTTAAAAGCTCCAGTGCCGCAGCAGAAGAGGGGGAGGCCTCTGGTGTGGGGACTGCCGTGTTTCATGTTAATTATAATAAATCCTATGGATATGATGATTTTAAAAAAGGTGTCTTGTGTTCTATTTGGGTCAGTGGTGGAATTTTGTAAGCCCCATAGGGCCATTTTAAGGGTGGGCCGTAACAATATGACACAACGGGAAGCGCTCTGCAGTAAAATGCCCTTCTAATGAGCTGCTCTGGAGTCAGATGTTAGCTCCACTGACCTCGACAGCAGCTGCTTTGACAGGCTGGACGGCAGCAGCACTCTCCTGCTTCTTCATCGAGGCTGCAGGCAGAGCCTCCTTCTCTGACTCCTCCCCCTGCACAGGACACAAGCAAGGTTATACACTGCAGAGAATTCACAGGGATCTTTAGAAAGGTCATGCAAACCAATCAGGAGCAATAAGAATTTACTTTAATAACGTTTCTTGAATGTCAAGAAGAATAAAAGTCAAATTAGTAAAATAATATGAATGATACAGATACAGGTTAGGTACACCCTGTTACATACACATGTAGTGTGTTTATTAGTCAGTCATACTTAATTTGGGTTTCCTTGATTGTAATTGTACATTTGGAAAACAATGACTTAGGTCACTTGATTTCTGTACAGACAATGTTCTGTTACTACAGGGTATATGCAGGAATCCTGAAGTCAAATGTAATACCTTTTAAGACCTTTTTAAGACCCTTTCCATACATTTTAAGACCTCATCGCCACTTGGAGTTCTAACCAGTTACATTGGCGACACACTTTACCTCACATTGACTATATACAGTATGGATGGTAAGATAGCATAACTAAACAGTTTGTGATAACTCCTTATCACAATTCAGATTAGGGCTGGGCGATATATCGAGTTTACACGATACATCGTGGATTGCACTACATGCGATGTCGTAAATGACCACATCGTGAACATCGAGTATTATGTTGTCAAATCAGTTTCCCGCCGCGGCTAAAATGAGCTTTCCTTTCTCCCTCATAGACACAGTCACAGACGCAGGCCCCGCCTCCAAACGTCCTTTTTCCCGGAGGATCACACAGGCGAGATAATAGCGCAAGGTTTACAAGAGGCTCTCCTGTCATGGAACTTACCAGAGGCTCGTCAGGTGTGTATCACCACAGATAACGGGAGTAACATCGTCAAATAAGTGTGAGCCTCAATAAGTGGAAAAGACTGCAATGTTTTGGCCACCGGCTGCACCTCGCAATTGGTGAGTAGGCAATCTGTCTGCCCGTTTTATTTTTTTAATATCAGCGATGTTTCAACCATACTTGCCAACCCTCCCGATTTTCGCGGGAGACTCCCGATTTCATTGCCCTCTCCCGGTTTCCTCCCGGGGTCATATTTCTCCCGCATTTCTGACATAATCAGATTTACTCAGGACTGTTTCCACTCGGATTTTAATACAGCTACACCATTGTTTGGTTTCCATGGCAGCGCGTCTCTTTAGTAGCGCGCCCAACTGAGGGCGAGTAAAATATATCACAGAAAACAGAACAAGAATCGACAACTCGACCCTCTGCTCACTCCTTTCCTGTCCATCCATGCTACAGGCCAAAACGTGTAGATAAGCAGTTAGTACTGACTGCAGACATGACACAATCTTGCACAGAATGCAGCTATTTTTTTGTATATAGTTTTTGACCAAACCAGTTTGACATCATGCACTGGTTTGTTGATTTAAAAGAAAAGATGCACTTTGATTTAAAAATGTCTAAAAAGTCCTTTTATTTATGTTACATTAAAATGTCCAGTGACATGCACAAAGAGTGCACTTTAATTTATTATTTTATTATTGCACTTTCAATATGTATAAGGGTTTCTGCGCTTTTTCATTGAGCTCTGTTTTTGCCCATAGAAATAGGCAACAGTATGTAGGCCTACATTAATTTTAATATGTATTGAATACATACTATTTAGTTCAACTTTATGATTTACTTCACATTTGTCTCATTATTTTACATTCCCTTTTTTCTAAGTATATATTTTTTGTGTGTTGGTTAAAATCGTTTTAATAGAAACCACTAATGAAGACAGTATAAATAACAATGGTTTAATGCAGACATATGTTGCAGGGACTACTAGAATCATCATACTGGCGTGACTGTAAACATCAAGGGGTTAAATTAAAAAAAATGATGTGTTTTAGAGGAAATTTCAGAATATCGTGTATCGCGATATAGTCAGTAAATATCGCGATATAATTTAGAGACCATATCGCCCAGCCCTAATTCAGATAGAGCAAAGCACAAGAGAATGAATTGTGTGACCAACCCAATGCATTGATTTAAGCATTGTTCCCAAGAGATAAAACAGACAGACTACTGAAGCCTCCTCTCCACATGAACTTCAACCTCTCTGTCAAGGTCAGGTTTAATGCAGTATGCTGCTTCTGTAGACAAACTGTGTGCTCTTTCATTCCAGTAAAACTCCTCAGAAACCAATAAACAAAACAATTGACAAAACTTTGAACTATGAAATATATTAAACTTTGGTGAGCTTCAGCGGGGTAATGCCATATAGGAGCTCCCTCACAAATACCCAGGGGTTAAATTGGGCCGGGGCTGTCCGGGGCTAAGCCCCGGCACATAGGACGATGCTCTGACATCATCACCCTCGCACATTTGTCATACGTTTACAAAAAACGATATGTATATGTTAAGACTTTTCTCGTTCTTAATATAGACTATATTTAGGGTCGATATGTGTTGACTTTACTTTAAAATAGCAGATCTCTGGGACCGGATATAGTTCGGCTTAGTGAACAGCGGAGGCCTTTGGCCATCTCTTCCTCTTCCTCCGTGTAGAGAGTCTGCACTGCAGCGGTGTGTGTCAGCGGCGTGCAGTCAGGGGAGGCACGGATTGGTCATCGGGAGAGTCGGGACTTAAACACCGCTGCTTTCTGGCTATCCCCATCAACAGTGGCGATTCTAGAGTCTGTGGGGGCCCCTCCAACCAGCTTTCATACTTTTTAATAGCCTTAATTTTCGCCAAATTGATTTATCAACTTTTAATACTTTTTAAGACCCCGCAGACACCCTGCACTAGCAGTTACCTGGCCAGCTGTTCCTCCCTCCTCAGCAGCCTTCTTCTTCTTCTTTTTCTTCTTCTTAGTTTTAGCAGCTCCATCATCAGCAGTCTCTCCCTTGTCCTTCTCATCTTCATCGTCGTCCTGACAAAGAAAACACATCAATAAGGCATTTGTCAGAAAATAGTTAAAAGATCTGCGAATGTTTTCTTTTACCAGATCTCCAAGATAAGCTCTTACTTATTTACATTTCCTTCCATCTTTTTAAAGCAAATTTTAATATAGCACTGTTTTGTTTTTTTAAACTGTCGATGTGAATCAGGCAAAGTCATTGCATGGAGAGCTTCGCTAGACGAGATAAGCGATTATCCTACTCTGGCGCCATCTGGTGGTAGAACAAAGAACAGCATTGACACAGCAATACATGCCACTATTCTTACATTTATGTTCATTATTATTATACAAATCCAATTGGTACAAAATGTCTATCATGAACAGAGTTTAAAAACACTGTTTGTACTGGGAAATGGCCTAATCTGTCACAATGACAGAACCCACCCGTGTGAGTGTATTGTGGGTGTGCATGAGTTGTGATATTCCTCATTCTATTCCTTATTCTAACTAAATCATGACAAAGGCTGTTTGTGCCCCAGATAGAGGAGCCATTAGATACTGCTGGGTTGTTCTTTTTAAACTTCCAGGTAACCCTCATTAGTACTTCATTTTGCCCTATGACCGTGCACACTTACAGCTGCTGCCATCAGCAGGTCCACCTTGGAGGGCTCCGGCAGCGGCTGCTCCACAATGGGAGGGGGCTCAGGAGTTTCCTCCTCATAGTTGCCCCAGACTTCAGCGGGGGCGTTCCAATCAGAGCTGGGGTCCACTGATCCACCATCTGAGTAACAAAGAGCATGAGGAAATGTAAAACACAATCAGATCTATAAAGTCAAATAGAGCAGTTAAAGCCCATCTTGTCCTTACTGAGTCCGGACCACTCGTCGTCCACTCTGGGCGGGCTGAGGCAGGGCAGCTCCTTCACAGGCTCAGGCTCTACAGACACACAGGAAGAGGAACTACATTTCAAAACCTTACAGTATCGACTTAGTGAGAGGGTTTTGAAAGCCTCTAGAAAGGAGGCTTTTTTAAATTCAGATATATAAATTGTTAAATAGATTACCAAGATCATTTTAACTGTTGTTCATTTTAAATCATAACTCAATATTATTTGTTAATCTTTTGTGGTGCGGCATCTATGCCACGCCAATTGATAGAAGACTTTAAGGAATTGGGAAATCTTCCATGGGAGCGATTTATTAAGGCGGCGTTTACACGAGAACGCAAACGGGTTGTATCCGCTACTTTTCTCTTTCGTATAGCCCGTTCGTTCACACGAGGCCGTAACGGACCCCGCAAACGATAACGGGTCCCAAGGTAGATAGATCTACAACCGGAACGCTCTGGGGGGGCCAAACGGCTCCGTGTGTACGTCCTATACGATAATTTTCTGATAACGATGAAGCCATAGCCCCACCTCTGCTGATACAGATGTTCGTGCAACATCTACAGCTCCTCTACCACAACCATCAGTAACAAGTGGACATGGAGAACTACATGAACTACATGTTGCTAAATCTACCGAAGGGCAACCATGGCAACCATGCTCGGGGGTCTTCTTCGCTGCGTTTGGTGTATTTTGTGGCAGAAGTGCAGCGCCACTTACAGGCCCGGCATATGTACTACAGCGTCTCCAGTGGTCTCGTATGAACGGACACGTTAATAAATGAGCCGAATGCGTGTGAACGGAAGACTTTTTTGATAACGAATTCGGTCCGTTTGCGTTCCCGTGTAAATGAGGTCTAAGAGGGGACACGAGGAGCATCATTTTGCTAAAAGAGAAGCTACCTATGCCATCTAGGAGGTGTAAACCAGATTAAACCAGTACTTGTCACATCACCACTTTGTTGTAGACTCACCAGCAGTACCAACACCCAGGCCGCTTAAAGACACCAGATTTGGGTCCGCCGGGGCCATCCCCCTGTCAATCACTGTCCAAGACTCTGAAACACACAGATCACAGATGCTCTAAAAAGGTCATAATCAACACAATTAACTTAATAGTCAGTGGATCACTGGGATCTGTATAACCAAGTAAATATGAGGAAATCTGTTTGTCAACCTTGTTTCCATGACCAGACTGTGATTGAAGGTTAAACTCTGAAAAGCATAAAATCAGTATAAAAAGGAAAATAAAACAAAGGCATTTTTGTCCTAAGAATAATACTAAATCAGCTGCCAAAATCACACTGCCCCACTGTGTATTCAGCAGCAACTTGGAAGATTATGATTTGCCCAGTGGTCTTTGAATTAATTAGGCAATATATCAGTATTGGGATACAAGAGTACTTCTTGTGTTAGACTTGGAATATGGTATAAGGGTTGTCTTTTCCTGGTTCCAGGCTGTATTATAGGGAAGTGATGTGATTTTCTCCCACATGAACATAATATCCACGTTACTAATCATTATTTATCAATAAAATCAAGCTGTAAATAATTTATAAAAAGGACAACTAGTCAAACCTACAATATGTTGCAATATCAACAGAGGCATTTGTTAAAAGATATTGTAATATTTGATTAACTTCATATCCCCAAGATCTCTAGCTGAGCAGCCTTGAGGTCAGATTTACTGTTGTGTCCAATGCCAAAAAGGAACTTTAAACTTTATAATCTTTAAGTCTATTATTTATCAAATGTAGTTGCGACAGTTTTATGGATACCTGATCCATTTATTAAGGTAACTTTAGCATCAATAGCCGTCCTGCTTATCAATCAGCGAGTCTATTACTATGACACTGCAGTCAATGTAAAGGTTATCGGATAGTTCATGGTTTTTGGAATGCAATAAAGCTTTTACACACAATTAAGCTTCACCAACAGCGCAATTAAGTGTTCCAATATTTGTGTTACCATCAAGCTCCGCTCTCCACACTGATGCTGGCTCTGTAGTGGTTGTCCAGGGGCGGGCCTTCGGAGAGACGGTGGGAGCAGGAACCTTCACAGCCATGTCCGTCACAGCAGCCACCGCCTCACTGTTAACTAACACCAAGACAGAAAGTCGATACTCAGCCAGACTAAGCACAGATCAGGTTGGCGACACGTCTAATATGGGAGTCCACATTAAGGCATGTGGACTTTTTTGGTCAACTAAAGCATTTTAATAGAGAGATCAATGCTTGGGGTGTCTTTTCTGGTAATAGATGAATACTTTTCAGGTGACATTTACCTGCAGGTAAAACAGCCTCAACCTTCTCTACTTTCACTTTGGCAGATTCTCCTGAAAAGAAAGAAACAAAAAGGGGTCAACATGCTGTATGCCAAGAACAACATCCATGAGAGCCTGTTAATGGAGGCAACACAGACAAACACTTCAGCTGAAGCCCTTCAGGGAAAATGCATTCTGGGAGTCAATTGAATTCCCCTAAAGCCTGTATCTATAGACCATCCTTTCAACAAGAGACCAATCAGATGCAACAACAGCCTATACAGAACAAAAGACATAAACATCTCTCTCTAGGTGCCACTTTAGGCTGTTAGTCAGAGAGAACCCTGGAGGTTTTATTTGAATGTATTCAAGAACAATATAATTAACATACTTCTTTCCTCTTACAAATCCTAAAACTCCACCCCAAAATGAAAGATACATGGATTTCAGAGTTATGTATTTTATCAGCCACCTGTTGTCTTCTTCTGGCTGGCAGGCGGGGGAGCAGCGGAGGCCTTTGGCTGCTCTGGGGGAGTGCTCACAGGTGTGTGTCCTCCTCCAGGACTGTTGGAGCCATCACTGGAGCCCTTATCCTTCTTGCGTTGCTCACGCTTCTCCTTGTTGCTGACCTTGGTCTCCCATGTGCCTGAAAAGAAACATTGTGAACAACGTGGAATTAGTTGCAAAGTACTGAAAGTTTTCATTTTGGGATTAGTGAGAACGTTTGGAATGGATTAGGCAGGATACCGGATCAGCCATATCTTGCTGGGAACATAAGGTCCCATTCTACAATAATAGGTTGAGTATAAAACACTTTCTTATGTTTTGTTACAAAGGCCTTGTTCAAATTAAACAAAATAGTTAAGAAGTAAGTCATTCCCTATTTGGTGCAATGGCTTTGTAACTGAAAAATAGTGGTTTACTAAGCATCAACATAAACAAAGAAAGGCCTCCTCCAATTAATGGTATAATACCCATACATCACTATAAATTAATTAGCATATACATCCTAACAATTCACCTTCTTCTGGTTCTTTGCGAGCTGCAGTCACAGTCTTTGTCTCCTTCACAGCCTGTTTGGCCTTCTTCTTAGACTTCTTTAACTAGAAGAGAAAGAGATCAAATAATAAAGACAACATTAAAGAATGTCTAAGAGAGTTTAAAGAAACAGGTTAAGAGCTACAGTTGATACTTGACTACACATATGATTTCATCTCACAAGAACGGCAACTGGGCAAGTGGCCCCATGCTGACTGAACAGGGCCGTCAATCAAATCAGCACGCCCAAGCCATGTCTATTAATACTGTAGGTGAAACTACACACACTGTTCAAGAAGCCCTTAATATGTTACATGTGCTATTTGGTTAACACCATTTCCAGCTCTAGTGAATGCACGATCACATCCTTAGATTGAGCACATGTATGACCACATTACGTGTCACTTTAGGCCTTACACAGAGGATGGCATTGAAAGAAAGGCTGCCCTTTTGCTGTCCTAAGCCAGGAGACATCCACAAGGATTTTGTTGCATCTGCAGGTTAAAAACTGTAACATTACACTGGCAGCGGGTCTGGTTGCATCACTGCAGGGCGACATGGGTTTTCTTAACTGATTTACAGAGATGAGTAACCGAGAAATAATGATGTGCTAACATTTATATAAACAAAACCTTGGTGCACCATCACACTAAACGGATCAATATGTTCAAGTCACATCAAGATAATGATGAGTGTGTGCCCATTCATCTTTGTTATAGCAAATTACCTCTGCAGCCTTCTCAGCCTTGGATTCTGGTGGGGGCGTCTGGTGATGTGGCACTATCTCTTCAGATGCTATGGCTTCTTCCTGTGGTTCAGCAACAGCTCTCCCATTAGGCTGGGATTTCTGGAATAAAGAAACATTAAGAGGGCCATGAAAATGTCAGCTATATTCTATTCACAAAACCCATTATGTAACAACTCCCAAGGCTAGCATATACTGGACGGACATTAGCCTGAAGCTAGCTAGGGTTTTGACATGAGTTTCAACTGTCACTGTGGCCGTATCGGGTGCAGACTGATTACATTTATGCTACGTGCCTTTTCCGTCTTCTTCTTCTTTTTCTTCGGTTCCTCGGATTTGACAGGTTTACTCTCATCGCGTTTCAATTCAAACCCGTCGTCCAGAGGGCTTACATCGGGTCGTTTCTTGAAGAGAGACCGGCAGGTTGAGGCCCACAGAGCGACCAGGAGCAGTAGCCCGCTACACGCCGCTAAGAGGATCACCCATGGCGGAATCAGCTCAGGCTTCAGCCCCAAATCCACGCCGAGCTCGGATCGCAGCAGTCCCAGACCTTTGGACAACAGTTCATTCAGACGAGTTGTAAGCAGCTTGACCTGCTGAGAGGCCTCGTCCTGCCACTGCTCCATTTGTATTGTGTTTCAAACAAACCGATTAGTCACGCTTTACTCGCCGCTATTAGCTAAGCTAGCCTGCAGTGCTAGCTAAAAATAACAGAACGACTTCGACATAATGAAAGACAAAACATGCATCCCTTCCTCCACTAGCAACATCGGCCAAAAGCCATACAACCTGCTAGCTGCAAGCTAAATCGCTTTACGGCTGTGGTGACACAATAAGTTAGCTAACTAACCCGCTAACTGATAACATCATAAGATATGCTCCGTTAGTTGACCACCACTATGTGACCGTGAGGATTGAGGATTCACCTCATATGGCTCCGTTTTGACTGGAGGAGAAACGGTGCCTTCACTGTCGCTGGTAATTTGGATGTTCCAGGTTGTAAATAGCAACCAGCATTTCTTCCGAAACGATAATTTAAGTAAAAATAATGTTTTTGTGTGAAATATATTGAAGACAAGATTGTTAGTATGTGTTTTTCAAACACAAAAAGATTACACCAACTATTTATAATTGTTTTATCTTTATTTGACCACCACTGTTGTCATATTTAGTTTCAGTTGTTAATATACCACCATAGTTTAGCGGTCATTAACAGCAAAGCCCAAATATTTCGGGTGTTATACTCAGGGGTGCACATCACTTTTTTGCCCTGGTTCTCAAAGGAGCACCTGGAGATGTTGCTTGGTGCTCATCCTTAAAATGAAATAAACCGTAACTTTTGAGGGGGTCTTGACTTTATTTGCCAGACACACGGCACTGAACACACAGAGGTGAACACAAGACAACATTAGCACGACCAGTAATCCTACAAGCTGTCATCACTACCCTCCTGACTGTTCTCCTCACTGTCTTCCTCTCTGTCAGATATGGTAGCTGATGATGTAGGCCTACTACTTCCTCTCTGGTTGAGTCTGCGATTAGCTGCTTGCATCCACAAGTCAACAGCTGGTTTTGGGTCGAAAGTCTCTGTTTTCATCTTAGACAAGTGGATGTAATCAAATAAGTATGTGAACATAACCAATAACCTACCATAGCCAATAACAAATGAATGTAACTTGTTTTATTGTTGTTGTTCATATCTTATTGTACCTTAACATTTATTTATATTATATATTTATATTTTTTTATCTCTCCAGTTTTAAAGGATATTTGTGGTTACTGTCCTATAGTAGCCTATACATTGGAATGATTTCAAACCTGTTTATCCCAATAATTATAAAGGAGTGCCTTGGTATTTATGTGTTTACATAAATTGTGACCAAACCGTTTGAACTTAGACTAAAGTGAACTATATAAACACTAAAATAGTCCTTTACCTCACTGAGCTGTAGTTATCAGCCTCTCAGTCTGACTGGAGAGAGCTCTCCTCCGCATTATTGTAGAAACATCTTCTTCTTATATCCGTTAGAGCAGCTAGCACCAGATTCTAATAACAACAGCGCCGGTACCGGTGCACCCTCCCTCTCCCCCCCCCCATTTTCATCACTTATAGCGCCCATCGTACAGGGCAAATTAAACGTGTAACCGGGGTGAAAAGGGTGTTACATTTACTTAATTATGAATATTGTTACATCAAGGCCGAAAATTAGGATGAGTCCCAACCATGTCCCAATGGTCAAAAATGTGTTTTCCCCCTCCCAGAACTGCCAGCGCAGCGCCCCCCAGGTCTGGCGCCCTAGGCGAACATCTATAACGCCAGTGCTAACTTAATATGCAACTCGCAAATATCTTTCTCTCTCTCCCTCCATGTTGGTACGCAAATGCGCCTTTTTTCAAATGACCCGGTGCTCTTTTTTTGGCGGAGGTGCGCATGCGCACCAGTTATGTGCAGCCCTGTTTATATGTATATATCCCAACCTAATTAACTAGATCCATAAAATTCCGTTTCTTACAAAATCTCTTGAAGGCAACACAAAGAGCATGTGACAGCTCCACTTAAATGGGCGGGGCTAAGATTTCTCCCATCATGATTGGCCTAAACTATGGGTCAAACTCCCATTACAAAAAACGTAAAATGCTGTGCCAAACTGTATTACAATCATTCTGTACATCTACTACTGGCATTTTCATGCACACAACTTATTTATTAAAACCTTACTTTGTAAGGTGTGTCTCTTATATTGTGTTTCATTTATCACAATGCAGATACCCCAAAACGTGGTGCAAAACAGCAGACAAACATGATAATTAAAATATTATTTACACTACTATAGCTGTTACCCAATGGCCTATGAAGGGATGGGGTAAAGAAAGATGTGATAGCTCTATCTGGTATGTAGCAGATCTCAAATGCGTCACAGATGAGCAGCTTCCACTCACAATAATGTAAGATGGTGATGCTACCACTATTAAAGCACAAAAAATACAAATCGGACAACTTTATTTGCATCCAAGTTTATTTTTGAAATTCCCTACTCCCCCTGTACAAGAAAAAAAAGGACTTTCCACAAAGGCAGCAGTGAACTGTCAGTGATAGTACTTTTCTAGGGAAGGAAAAAAAACGTATAATCACAGTGTGTCTTCTTTTAAATACTTCTACTGCTGTCATCTTTGGCTGGGTTTCGGCAGACAGCTTTCTGTCAAACCACATTCCTGGGAAGCAAAAGTTTAAGCCAATAGATCAGGGCTGTGGGCTTTAAGTTTTACAGTGCCAATGCAGGAATGTTCTGGACTGTATACCTCTTCTTCATTAAACACAAAGAAAAAAAACCAATAAAAATTGAAATAAAAATAACAAGCCATTTGTGTTCACAACACAAACGAATATTACCGCCTGGGGAGATAGTGACAGTATGTCAATTTTCATAAAATTGTATAGACAAAAAATAAATCTACAAAAATGGAGCTAGGTAAATATTACACAACAGTAAACAGGTTTTTTTTTTGTTTTTTTTTTCTTCAACTCTTCTCTGTTGAACCTCTACACAAAACCAAAGTTTTTGGTCTTTACGGCTAGCAGGAGTTTCTGTTTGAGTATCTGTTTAGAAGAATAGAGTGGCACGTAGAGACGTGAGATGCAGGTGTTGGCTGTCGGGAGGTGCAGGTCGTCTGGAGGCCGGATGGTGATGGAGGGCATCGGCTGGAAGCCCTCCTCACTGGCCGGCAGAGACGGGCTGGAGGTCCAGAAGTACACCTGGGGAAGAGGGAGAAACACATTCACATTCAAAGCTTTTGTAATGTTCTACCGTTTGTGTACTCGGACAGGTGAAAAGCAAGACAGCCTTTGAACAACATCATAATATTGAAAAACATAAAAAAATCTTTGGTGTTCACTATTGCTCGTTAAGAATCTCTGAAATAAAAAATAAAAAACAAATGTCCCGCCACTGATGCGGCTTTCACACCAGCGCTTTTCCCTTTCTAGCTCCGAGTTAGAGCTTTTCTGGTTCAGCTCCGGTTTCCCTTTTCTGCTCCCGCTCTGTTCACACTGCCCAGCACCCGACTGGTGCTGCCGCTGCTGCGTCATGACGTCATCGTTTACATAGCTGATTTGCTCCCCAACGGCGTTATGGCGCTCACAACAACAACAACAACAACAACGGGGAACTGCGTCGCGTCGATGATCGTGTTGCTTTTAATCACAAGAAGCCAGAATAAATTGAATAACGACTTCTCCAACCTTATACTTTTCTCCAGAGTGCCGTGGTTCATTGTTTATTAATGTGTTTCTGCAGCATTTACCGACCGCTGCAGTGTTGGCTGCTCTTCCACAGGAGTTTATTCTCCTCCGTTAGCTCCCGGTTAGCTCCCACTGCTGCGGCCGCTCTAACGTATTCACTGTCCGACTCACACAAGCAGCTGATACATATCCCCAGTTCCCCTTAGCCTAAGTGAATGTGTGTCAGTCTGAATTGACGCTGTTTGGTATCACAACGCTGTTATGAAAGTTTCTCTGGTATAAAATGGGTGATGTTAGCATAGCAACCGAAGCTAAACTGACTACTTGCTATTGCTATCCTATTGTGGCATAAACCGTTTTCTACAGGCACATTTTACCGGCGTATTTTTATTATGATTCTACTTGTGATAGTCGGACACGACAACCTGTGCAGCCCATGTATTGATTCCATCCGATAGCTGCTATAATACAAAACAAAACGTCTGCCTCTCTCCACAATGATCAATAACAATGAACGGATGGTCAAAGTAAGGTACAAATAAACAGAATCACACGAAGCCTGGTTAGTGTTGCCTGACTTTATAAAGTGTGTTTATAAGCACTACTGCTTGTAGGCAGGCATGACAGTCGACCCATGTTCAGGGGAGGAGGGTTTAGTTTCCTGCACGCCTCGACGTAAGAGAGACGTAAGCGACGCCACCTCTTAGCTCCGAAGCTCTTGCCTCTAGACCGACACAATTTTTTGGAGCTGGAAGTGAACCGGATTCCGGAGCTAAGAGGCGGTGCCGCTGCGGTGTGAACAGGAAAAACCGGCGCTTTTCAGGCTCCAGCTCCGAGCCGGAGCTGAAAAAGCGCTGGTGTGAAAGGGGCATGAGTGTGTCTTTGAAACCAAACAGAATCCCAACCATGCACAATCCCAGGCTCCACCACAAGCACACTACTACCTATTTAAAAAGGGAATTATCCCCCTTCTTTTTTAGCACTTAAACAATACATATACAATGTTTAGGATACTGACGGAAAATAAGAGAAACACAAAACAAGCAGAGGAAGGAGAGGATTTAAACAAGAACTGACATTTCACTGACCAACACCCAACTGCTCCTTAGTTGGTCTTTATTTTACCAATTTTATGCACGGCAAAAATAGTTGCAGTCAATATGAACTGTAGTGTGTGTTAGGGCTGCTCAATTAATCGTATTTTAATCGCAATTACGATTTTAGCCTGCCACAATTACGAAAACAACATAATCGAGAAAAAAAACGATTATTTAGCTTTGCTAGATGGTGACAGTGCAACATCTTTGATCTCACTTATTTTAGTCTCATTTATTTATCATATTTATATATGTTTAGTAGCTTGTGGAAGTGCGCTCAAATATTTGTTGATCTTGTTTATTGGTATTTATTATTTTGATATTATTTATTTAAATATAAATCATTTATTTTATTATTTTTGTATTGGTTTTTCAGTGGAATTATACGTTCAAGGTTTAGGGTTAGTCAGGGTAATCAATAGTTACAAACATACTGTTCAAATTATTATTTGTATTTGTTTTAAAGTTCAATAAATGGATGTTTTCAAAGTCAATGAATAATCATATTTAATAATCGTGATATCAATTATTGACCAAAATAATCGTGATTATGATTTTTGCCATAATCGCACAGCCCTAAGTGTGGGTCATGTGTGAAGCCATT